AATCATTGCATTTGTTAAATTAGTAACCTGGTTGTTAAGTGAATCTGGATTCCCCCTTGACTTTACTTGTCAGAAGGTCGCAAAAGGGGATCACGTGACCCCGGACACTGCAACCGTCATAAATGTGAGTCGGTTCCCAAGTCTGGAATTTGATCACGTGACCCTGGCGATGCTGCAATGGTCATAAGTGTGAAAAATTGTCATAAATTGCTAAGTGTGTCGCTACAGTTGATAAGTTAGTAACCTGGTTGTTAAGCGAATCTGGGTTCCCCCTTGAGTTTTCTTGTCAGAAGGTCAAAAAAAGGGGATCCCATTGATTTATTTATTTTTATTTTATTAAATTGGGACACAGCAACCGTCATAAGTATGAGTCAGTTGCCAAGCACCTGAATTGTGACGACATGACCATGGGGGTGCTGCAAAGGTCGTAACTGTGAAAAGTGGCCATAAGTCGCTTTTTTTCAGTTCCGTTGTAACTTTGAATGGTCACTAAATGAACTGTTTTAAGTCAAGGATTACCCATAGATAGGTCTACCTCAGTGGTGGGTTTCCGATATTGTTACCCCTGGTTTGCCGTATGCGCACTCACTTCACACACACACACACACACACTTTCCACACATGTGCTTTGCTCGCGCACGTGCCTTCCGTGCGGGCGCTGGCCTCAAAAGTGTGGCTAAATAGGACGGCATAGCGCCGGGGCAAGTGGGCGGGCCCACCCACGATCTCCGCAACCAGTTCAGGCAAACCGGGGCGAACCGGCTGCATACCACCTCCGGCCTACCTCTAACTTCCCCGTTTTGGCTGCTAGCTGCAGAGGCGTTAAACCATCTTTATTCTTCATCATCTCCAAATCCCGGCTTCTGCTTTTCAAGAGGATGGCGTCGTACATCCGCCGGATAAAGTCATTTTGGGTCTTAAAGTCTTCCGCCACGGTCACCAAGGCGTGGAGGATGTTGTTCCCTCGCGCATCCTGAGACTTGATGTCCGTCTTGCTGTTCTCCATCAAGAGATGGACAATGTCCGGCTGGTTGGTGCAGGCCGCTAACGCCAGGGGGGTCTCGCCTGCAAAGAGGGTGCCAAGTGGTGGGGTTTGAGAGTTAGTGTTTACTATGCGGGGCCTTTAGCTGAGGGGCTAAAGTCTTGCTAATTCCGTCTTGCTTTATTATTTTTATAGTTTTCAAAAAAAAAATTCTTCACATTCATGAAAGCTCAGGAAAGTTTCAAAGATCTCACAAGGTTCGAAGAAACACGAATGCAAGCAAAGTTTAATGAAAATAAAATGGATTGTTTCTTTAAGAGATGAGATAGATAGATAGATAGATAGATAGATAGATAGATAGATAGATGGATGGATGGATATGGGTAGATGATAGATAGATAGATGATAGATAGGTGATAGATAGATATGATAGAGAGAGAGATAGGGATAGATAGATGATAGATAGATAGATAGATAGATAGATAGATAGATAGATGGATGGATGGATAGAATAGAATAGAATAGATAGAAGATAAATAGATAGATAGATAGATAGATAGATAGATAGATGATAGATATGATAGATAGATGATAGATAGATAGATAGATAGATAGATAGATAGATAGATAGATAGATGGGTAGATGATAGATAGATAGATGATAGATAGGTGATAGATAGATATGATAGAGAGAGAGAGATAGGGATAGATAGATGATAGATAGATAGATAGATAGATAGATAGATAGATAGATAGATGATGGATAGAATAGAATAGATAGAAGATAAAGATAGATAGATAGATAGATAGATAGATAGATAGATAGATGATAGATATGATAGATAGATGATAGATAGATGATAGATATAGATAGATGATAGATAGATATGATAGAGAGAGAGGGATAGATAGATAGATGATAGATATGATAGATAGATGAGAGATAGATGAGAGATATAGATAGATGAAGATAGATATGATAGAGAGATAGAGAGATAGATAGGGATAGATAGATAGATAGAGAGAGAGAGATAGGGATAGATAGATGATAGATATGATAGATAGATGATGGATGATGGATGGATAAATAAATAGATAGATAGATAGATGATAGGTAGATAGATAGATAGATGATAGGTAGATAGATAGATAGATAGATAGATAGATAGATGATAGATAGATAGATAGATAGATAGATAGATGGATGATAGGTAGATAGATAGATAGATAGATGGATGGACGAATGGAATAGATAGAAGATAGATAGATAGATAGATAGATAGATAGATAGATAGATAGATAGATGATAGATAGATAGATATAGATAGATAATTATAGATGATAGATATAGATAGATGATAGATAGATATGAGAGAGAGAGAGGTAGGGATAGATAGATGATAGAGAGAGAGAATAGGGATAGATAGATGATAGATGGATGGATGGATGGATGGACGGACGGATGGACAGATGGATGGATGATAGATAGATAGATAGATAGATAGATAGATAGATAGATAGGTAGATGATAGATAGATAGATGATAGATAGGTGATAGATAGATATGATAGAGAGAGAGAGATAGGGATAGATAGATGATAGATAGATAGATAGATAGATAGATAGATAGATAGATAGATGGATGGATGGATAGAATAGAATAGATAGAAGATAAATAGATAGATAGATAGATAGATAGATAGATAGATAGATAGATAGATATGATATGATAGATAGATGATAGATAGATGATAGATATAGATAGATGATAATAGATAGATAGATAGATAGATAGATAGATAGATAGATGGTAGATGATAGATAGATAGATGATAGATAGGTGATAGATAGATATGATAGAGAGAGAGAGATAGGATAGATAGATGATAGATAGATAGATAGATAGATAGATAGATAGATAGATAGACAGATAGAGGATGATAGAATAGAATAGATAGAAGATAAATAGATAGATAGATAGATAGATGATAGATATGATAGATAATGATAGATAGATGATAGATATAGATAGATGATAGACAGATATGATAGAGAGAGAGAGGATAGATAGATAGATGATAGATATGATAGATAGATGATAGATAGATGAGAGATATAGATAGATGAGAGATAGATATGATAGAGAGATAGAGAGATAGATAGGATAGATAGATAGATGATAGAGAGAGAGATAGGGATAGATAGATGATAGATATGATAGATAGATGGATGGATGGATGGATGGATAAATAAATAGATAGATAGATAGATGATAGGTAGATAGATAGATAGATGATAGGTAGATAGATAGATAGATAGATAGATAGATAGATAGATGGATGATAGGTAGATAGATAGATAGATAGATGGATGGACGGATGGAATAGATAGAAATAGATAGATAGATAGATAGATAGATAGATAGATGATAGATAGATAGATATAGATAGATAGATTATAGATGATAGATATAGATAATGATAGATAGAATGAGAGAGAGAGAGGTAGGGATAGATAGATGATAGAGAGAGAGAGATAGGGATAGATAGATGATAGATGGATGGATGGATGGATGGACGGACGGATGGACAGATGATGGATGATAGATAGATAGATAGATAGATAGATAGATAGATAGATAGGTAGATGATAGATAGATAGATGATAGATAGGTGATAGATAGATATGATAGAGAGAGAGAGATAGGATAGATAGATGATAGATAGATAGATAGATAGATAGATAGATAGATGGATGGATGGATAGAATAGAATAGATAGAAGATAAATAGATAGATAGATAGATAGATAGATAGATAGATAGATAGATAGATAGATGATAGATATGATAGATAGATGATAGATAGATGATAGATATAGATAGATGATAGATAGATAGATAGATAGATAGATAGATAGATAGATGGGTATATGATATAGATAGATGATATAGATAGGTGATAGATAGATATGATAGAGAGAGAGAGATAGGGATAGATAGATGATAGAAATAGATAGATAGATAGATAGATAGATAGATGGATGGGATAGATAGATAGATAGATAGATAGATAGATAGATAGATAGATAGATGATAGATAGATAGATAGATAGATAGATGATAGATAGATAGATAGTAGATAGATAGAAAAATAATAGATAAATAGATAATAGAAAGAAAGAAAGAAAGATAGATAGATAGATAGATAGATAGATAGATAGATAGATGATAGATAGATAGAGATAGATAGATAGATAGTAGATAGATAGAAAAATAATAGATAAATAGATGTGATAGATATGATAGATAGATGGATGGATGGATGGATGGATAAATAAATAGATAGATAGATAGATGATAGGTAGATAGATAGATAGATGATAGGTAGATAGATAGATAGATAGATAGATAGATAGATAGATAGATGGATGATAGGTAGATAGATAATAGATAAATAGATGATAGAAAGAAAGATAGATAGAGATAGATAGATGATAGATAGAAAGAAAGACGGATTGATAGATAGATAAATAGATGATAGATAGATAGATAGAAAAATAGTAGATAGATGATAGATAGAAAAATAGTAGATAGATAGATGATAGATAGAAAAATAGTAGATAGATAGATGATAGAAAGAAAGAAAGAAAGAAAAAGAAAGATAGATAGATAGATAGATAGGTAGATAGATAGATAGATAGATAGATAGATAGATAGATAGATAGATAGTCTTGGAAGCAAACCCACCAACATCTAAGGCCCATCAGCAGAATTTGGGATAGGGGCGATTTCCGGAAGCTGCACCTTGCTCTAAAACTCTTTTCTGTAAAAACTAAGATTCTAGTCCTCATGTTCAGCAACCCCAAAAGTGGCTGCATTGCACCCAGGAAGGTCTTGAATTTTGATCAGCAGGCTCGGTGTGCCGACGAGGGCATTTCCAACCTGGGCAAGACCACTCCCCGAGAATTGGGGGGGCTTCACCTCCACACGAAACCCCCCACTGCCTTGTTTCTTCTAGGCACAGCGACGCTGAACCAGACGATCGACATTTGCAAGCATTTCACCAACCTGTGCTTGAACGGGCGCTGCATCCCCACCCCGTCCAGCTACCGTTGCGAGTGCAACATGGGCTACAAGCAAGACGTGCGGGGCGAGTGTATCGGTAAGCAAACCACAATCGGTGCAAAGCCCAGTCAATGCTGGTTCCTCGGGGATAGGTTTCAGTTCACAGCCAAGGGGGGAGCTGCAGATCCAAAAAAGTGAAGAGGGTGGCCGTGAGATCAAACTCCTGCCTTATCATCATCCCATAATCCCTTGCAGGGTGGAGTCTGGGCAACTGAATGGAGCTGAGTGTTTACTGGCTGGATGCCCTTCCTGTCACCAATGCAAAGTTTTTCTTCAGCAGATCAGTGGTGGGTTCCTCCCGGTTCGGCCCGGTTCGGCCAAGCCGGTAGCGGTGACGATATGACGTCACCAAACCGGTTCTCTGTTCGGGAGCTGGGTCCTCCCACCCCCCACCCCCCACCCCTGGCGTAATTCTTACCTTTTATTTGGCCCCGCCCCCAATATATTCGCTACCTCCCGAGTCCCAGCTGATCCGCTAGAAGGAAAAAAACTGTTTAAACTCTTGCCGTGGGGTTTCAAAGGGCCGCCCTACAGCTGATCAGTGTTAAAAGGCAGTGTGGTGGTAGACCGGTGCCTGAAAAAACAAATGAGTAGACCAGTGCTTGCAAAAATAAATGGGTAGACCAGTGCCTCCAAAAACAAATGAGTAGACCGGTGCCTGAAAAAACAAATGAGTAGACCGGTGCCTCCCAAAACAAATGAGTAGACCGGTACAGCTCTGCAAGCAGTTAAAAGCCTGGTAGACCAGTACCTCTGCTAAATCCTAAAGAATTGTCACATGGCCATCAAACCACACCCACAAAATAAGCCACCCCCACAGAACCGGTAGTAAAAAAATTTAAAACTCACCCCTGCAGCAGATGTATTCTCATTGTGCCCAGAGAGAGAAATATCTGCCTCTACCTAGGATCAAACTCACAGCCTCCTGATTGTGAGGCGAGAGCTCCACCTCTAGGCCACTGCACCACTCCATTCAATACCTGCCCTATGATGCATGAAAAAGCAGTGGAGACATTTTGACTTTTTTAACTGTTTCCTGCTGTGGCACTCTCCTCCCAAGTAGTTGGGTCAGCCTGCGCTGTTCTCGCCTTCTCTTCACTCTCCGTGCTCGAGGATCAGGAGGGGGTGGTCCTTGCTCATCGCCTGAGCTCGGTCTCTCATGTTCACTGCTTAGCGCCTCTTGGTCATCCTGACCCCCTTCCTCCCTGTCTACAAGCTGTCCCAATCCTGAAAGGCCCTGGCCTGACTGGGCCTGCCCCTCCCCATATTCCTCCAAAGCCAACGAAGCCACCCCCTCGATCTCAGGGCTCCAGTTCTGGCTTGTCTTTCTATAGAATGTGTTTATGTTTTATTTTTATAGTTATAATGTACGCTGAAGATGGGATTTAATTTCGTCGTACGAGGTGCAATGACAATAAAGTAAACTAAACTTCCTCTGCAGATTCAGGCTCCGACGGGAGCATGACGTTCTGCTTGCAGCAATGGGATTTGCAAAAACCATTTGCAAAGAGATGCAATTTGCAAAAAAGATGAGCAGTGAATTGCCGATTTAGCAACCCAATTAATTTCCTGAAAGATGTTATGAGCCCCAAATGTAGAAATGGTGTGAGACAATTAGGGGACCGATGGCATTCATTCTGTTATTTGTCTTTATAATCATTACTCTGTAATATTAACTGCGTGGCTCCTTGCTGGGATATGACTCAGCTCAGATTAAAATAAAATAAAATCTTTCGGGTCATCTGATTTAAAAACATTGGGGAGGCCCGTCTGGCAATGCTAGAGGCTTTTAAGTTATGGATAGGATGTCTCCACCCAGAAATTTATGCTTCTCCAAATCTCCCTGAATCTATTTATCCAACGACAGGCGTGGGAATAAGGTTCGAGCTATTCATTATAATAATGGGCAGTTTGGATGGAGATAAAATTATTGGGGCAATATTTAGTTCAGTTTTCTGGGAAAGATGGCATCACAGATGCCAGAAGACCTGTGACATCGGATGATGAAAAAAAAAATGCATTTGTGGTCCTTCCAAAAATTGCATCTCCCTACAGTTTTAACGGGGATTTGCTTTTATTCCTTTTCTGAAAATGGACTGAACATTTTTTCTTTCCTTTTTTTTGTCTCCTCTCAAAAGGAGCAGGTTTCTGATTTAATTAAATAAGGAAGAGCTGAACTTGAAGGTCCTACTAAAAGTCCAAAATTCCCCCAATGAGTGACGACCTCTTCAAACTATGAAACATGCAAAAATCAGGAGACACCTGGTAGCCCCTTTTCCAATCCATCCTTTTTAAAAAAAGCAGAAACATTCTGATAAATCCTACAACCTCCGAGACTGACACCCGTTCGTTTGAATTAATGGCTCCTCAGTGTTTTTCAGTTTGGCGACTTGAAGATGGGTGGACTTCAACTCCCAGAATTCCCCAGCCACCATGGTAGGCTGGGGAATCCTGGGAGTTTGAAGTCCACCCATCAGCTATAGCTTCTGTCCAGACTTCTGAAACTAGTCCTTTAAGTATCTTGGGTGATTTTTCTGCATGTGTAAAAAGAAATCCATGAAAAGGAAAAGCTAGGCCATCCTAATTTCCAAAGTTACGTCAGCAACCTGAGGGAGACTCCCATGTTCTCTTAGCAGGCCAAAATGGCGGAAGGACCTTGGAAAGGGATTCATCGGCTCCCAAAACAGGGGGAATAAATTGTGGGGTCGGGATGATACAGGGAAGCAACTCTGCGATGAATCAAAGCATCCCGGCAGCCATTTTGCCGATGCGCCCTCAACTTTGCCTCAAAATTTAAGTGGGTTTTGCAGAGCACGGCGCTCAAATTAAACCAATGTAAGTCAATTGGAATTAGTATATAAACCAGCAGCCCAGGTTCAAAACCCCAGGCGCCATGCAACGGAGAGAGCTCCTGTCTTCGCCCTCAGCTCCTGCTCACCTAGCAGTTCGAAAGCATGCAAATGCGAGTAGATAAATAGGTACCACTTCGGTGAGGGAGGAAACAGTGCTCTGTGATGTCATGCTGGCCACGTGACCGTGGAAATGTCTTCAGACAGTGCCGGCTCCATGGCCTTGAAACAGAGATGAGCATTACCTCCTAGTGTCAATCATGAGTAGCGAAGTAAATACACACACACACACACACACACACATATATATAGTCTATCTCCAATTGACTCATATTTACTCTGTCTCCCCCCCCCTCTCCCTCCTCTCCCTCTTTGCAAGACATGGATGAGTGTTCGAGCAGCCCCTGCCTCCACGGCGATTGTGTGAACACCCCCGGCTCCTACCACTGCAAGTGCCACGAAGGTTTCCAGAGCACGCCCACCAAACAGGCCTGCATTGGTAAGCCAAAGGGGAGTGGGGAGTGACTGTGACTCTCCGTGGGATCGGTGCCTGGGAAGAATGGGAGGAAAGGGAATCGAACCAGATTGCAAGGAGGGAGACCCACAAGGGGGTCAAAAAAGTCAAGATGGCAGTTGAAGCGTGGCTAAGAAAGAGGTGAGCCTTTCATTGCATCACGGCAATTATCTTCTTGACATTGTTTGGACCAGGGGTGAAATCCAGCAGGTTCTGACAGGTTCTGGAGAACCTGTAGCGGAAATTTTGAGCAGTTCAGAGAACCGGTAGCGGAAATTATGAGCAGTTCAGAGAACTGGTAGCGGAAATTATGAGCAGTTCAGAGAACCGGTAGCGGAAATTTTGAGCAGTTCAGAGAACGGTAGCGGAAATTATGAGCAGTTCAGAGAACTGGTAGCGGAAATTTTGAGCAGTTCAGAGAACCTGTAGCGGAAATTATGAGCAGTTCAGAGAACTGGTAGCGGAAATTATGAAGCAGTTCAGAGAACCGGTAGCGGAAATTTTGAGCAGTTCAGAGAACCGACAAATACCACCTCTGGCTGGCCCCAGAGTGGGGTGGGAATGGAGATTTTGCAATATCCTTCCCCCAGGAGTGGGGAGGGAATGGGGATTTTGCAGGACCCTTCCCCTGCCACGCCCACCAAGCCACACCCACAGAACCGGTAGTAAAAATATTTGGATTTCACCACTTGTTTGGACTCTCCCCTCCGTATTTGGACCGGAGATAGGAACCACTGGGAATATTCTGGGCATGGGTTGTGGGATTGAGTTTGGGGAGGAGGGGGATGCAGGACCTCTCCCATTTGAGGATTCTGTGTGGCAGAAGAAGCTTTCCTGCCCGAGGGTCTCCCTGGGCTCACCTGCAGTTCTTCTAGGCGCAGTTTCTCAACCTTGGCTACTTCAAGGGGTCTGGACTTCAACTCCCAGAATTCCCTAGGCTAGCCGGGGAATTCTGGGAGTTGAAGTCCAGGTGCCTTTAAAGTAGTCAAGGTTGACATCAGGGGTGGGTTCTAAAATTTTTTACTACCGGTTCTGTGGGCGTGGCTTATATTGTGGGCGTAGCTTGGTGGGGGGGTAATGTGACCAGGTGGGCGTGGCCAACTTTTTTTTTTCTTCTACTTTTAAAAGAATCTTTTCTACAACCTTAAGAGGTTGCAGAAAAAAAATGCTTTTAGAAGCCTCTGATGATCAGGCAACTCAGCTGGGATCGCCAGAGGCTTTTCAAGGCATTTTTTTTTCCTACAACCTCCTTGGCCAAAGAGGTTGCAGAAAAAATGCTTTTAAAAGTTAAAAAAAAAAAAAAAAAGCCTCTGATGAGGTGGGCGGGGTAAGCGAGCGGCGACTGGGCCGGGGACTGGTTTGGGGGCGTGGCCAGCCAATGTTATTACTGGTTCTCCGAACTACTACAAATTTTTACTACCGGTTCTTGCGAACCGGTGCGAACTGGGAGCAACCCACTACTTACTTACTTACTTACTTACTTACTTATTTATTTATTTATTTATTTATTTGCACTGGCTCCCGGTGGTCTTCCGGGTGCGCTTCAAGGTGTTGGTTATAACCTTTAAAGCGCTCAATGGCATAGGACCTGGATACCTTCGAGACCGTCTGCTGCCACCAACGACCTCCCACCGACCGGTGCACTCCCACAGAGAGGGCCTCCTCAGGGAGCCATCGGCCAAGCAATGTAGACTGGTGGCCCCCAGGGGGAGGGCCTTCTCTGTGGGGGCACCTGCCCTCTGGAATCAACTGCCCCCAGAGATACGAAGAATTCAAGACCTCGGTGCCTTCCGCCGTGCCCTGAAGCCCTTCTTTTTTCAGCAAGCCGGGCTGGCTTAACGCTTTTTAAATGTTTTTTTAATATGTTTTGTTATTGTTTTTTAACTTTGGGGCCAAATTTATATATTTCTTTTTAAACTGTTTTTAATGTTTGTATTCATGTTTTTTACTTTGGCTGTACACCACCCTGAGTCCTTCAGGGACTGGTCAGGGACAAGGGCGGTCTATAAATTTAATAAGAAAGAAAGAAAGAAAGAAAGAAAGAAAGAAAGAAAGAAAGAAA